TCCCCATAATCCTAATAAACAATAAATTTAATCAAAGTTCTTCTTTATTTTTGTTTATTGAGCATACAAATGTATAATAAACCTTCAGGAAGGTGGACTGCTGTTGTAGAAAAATGGGAAAGATGGACAATAGTAGCGGGATTCGAAATCAGGACCGTCAGGTCACTATTTTGATAACCGTTAATCAGTCGACCACGGCCATCACGAAATGCCCGGTCGTGAGGAAAATAAAAAGTTAATGATTGTGCTAAAAGTCGCTGAACTGAAAGAAATCGAGCGCATCATCCGCATCAACGAATAGCGAGATACAGTGAAGCGAACTTGACTGACCGCTGCCAAGCTCACAATGTACACAAAGTAAAGGAGGAAGTAGAAAATCGATTGGGACTGGGCCTCATTGAGCGGAATGCAAAGAAAGTGAACTTCTATGGTTGACATAGAGAGTGCACAACCTAACTGTGCATACATACCTTTTCAAGCATTCCGATCTGACAAGAAGTGACAACAAGAACGACACTGCCGTCCGATCAGGTCAGGTTCTTCTCACAGAGATGAAGTCAGCAGGATCCGTTCTGACTGATGACAGTATTCGTAAGAAACACGAGATCACGGAGATACACACGAAGCGTCCGAACTGCAATCTAAAACGTTTGCTGAGAGAAGTGCCATTTCACCGACCGATGAAAGGAAGAAACGCTGGTTTCAGCTGAGGCAGTTTTCAGTCTTCAAATGTGCCTAAGTAACTTCAGAACCGCTGGTGGATGGCTACCAAATTTCAAGGAGGGCAGTAACACTTGCGGGAGCAAGTGAGGTGGAGGAGTAACTGTGGTTAACAGGAGCGCATACGATTGGATTCTATGTACCAAGCAAATACAGGTGATCATTTTGAAAGTGTCAAATGTGAAGAAAACCGGTCGAACAAAACTAAAAGTTCAGCCGCCCAAGAAGAACCGCAAGTAGCTGCGTCATTCAACCCGAACAGAGATGAGGGAGGGGGAACGTGGTGTCACCAGTGAAATGTGACTGTAGAGGGGCGATATTTCGCAGTGCAATGCACAAAGCGGGTGACGCAGTAAAAAAAACAGAGGCGAAATACCCCTTATTTCTTAGCCACACTGTTGTGTCAAGTCACGTACCGACCTGGATTCGGACGGATAACGTCCAAGCGGATATGCTGTAAATAGCCTACCGCAGTCGTCATCCTGGCAAACAATCGCAAGTGTTGTATTCAGATGCGTGCCATTGATCACTGAGGTGTGTGAGAGCGCGTGACGACTCGATGCCTGGGTAAAGTGAAGTGACACATGAAAATGTGAAATTCCGAAATGGTTATTTGTGGTCGTTGTAGTCGCGGCTCAGTGATAAGCCTAAGATGTCAGATTTTTGGCGAAAGGAACCATGCAATGTGAAATCGCATAGCACAAAGTTATGTTGTAGACGGGAAAATCAGCCACAGTTTCTATTTCATGGGGAATTATTGCGGGATTTGATTCAATTTCAAAGAGGGAATTCGTTGTGTACAGAGAGCAAATGAAGCGTGAACTGAAAAGCTAGAAAACACTACCAGACAATTGTTTCGATCTCGTTGGGTATCATCAGCAGCAGCCGTGCGAATCCCCGGAGGCTGGTGCTGAGATGAGCGAGGAAAGAGGCTCACAACAAGCTCGCAAAAATGGGTTGTGCTATATCGTGTANTCGTGTACATGGCGGATGAAAAACGGTCTGTGATCAGCTGCTCGGTGGCCGAGTGGGTAGCATGTTTGTGTTCTGCGTGTGAGGTCCCAATGGGGTCGATGAATTCGCGCACTGCGGTTGAGACCCAACCGGGTCAAAACAGCTACTGTCCGGTGCTTCGTAGCTTGTCAATTTGCGCTTCATTTACTCTATACACGACGAATTCCTTCTATGACAGTTTTGCATTATTTGATACCCGGACCCTAAGACAACTGCAGACGTTTAGCACATCACAATGCTAACAACGACAAACAGGGTGTAATATCAAAGTGAAAAACGGGGTTTTAGAAGGTCCAGCCAGTGCGTGTTGCATAAAAAGATTGTGGGAGAAAGGAGGGGGGATGTTTGGTAGATGATGAACTGGGTTGTTCCTATCACACAGAGTTGCTTTGATTTGTGAGACAGAGAAGCTAGTCTTGTATCTATCAAGTACCATACAGAAACAATGCTAAATCATTTTTAAGTAGATCCAAACTCAACATAAACGTCTAACAATTGGCCAAAAAAACGGAGTCACAGACTGTCACTGTGAGATAAAACTGTCAGACTCCCCCGAGATCTTATTCAATTAAAGAATTGGGCTGAACATGGGTTACACAAAAATAAAATGAACAGTACCCAAGGCCAAGATTCACCACTTTGTTAGTTGGTCTCGGGAGAATCTGACGGGGTCCAATCGTCATCCCCATTTGGGCATAGTTCAGCCGGTGCGAGGTAGAACTCATCGGAACCCAGGTCTACACCGTCTAGATCCAGTCGATTCCCGGTCTGTGCCTCAGTTCGACGACGATCCGTGGACTCGGCAACGGAATCCGGCTCCGTACTGGGCACGGACGAGTCTCGACCGGGATGATGCGGCGATGACAGTCGATGAGACCGATCGGACTGTGCTCGTTCTAGTGCATCGATCGCTTCACGCCACGCACCGGCCACATTGGACCAATAGGACAAATAGGCTTGGGACATACGTAGCATGTTCCGAATTGTGTCCCCCCGCCTCTCCACTTTCCATCGACTGTACTCAGCTCCGATTTGCCCGTTTGACAAAGTCAATTGATCTTGTAATTGACAGGCTTCGGCGGCAAGCTGAATAAAAACGGACAAAAAAACCGAAAAGGGATTGGTTTAAACGATCATTACACTGCTGCTTGTTTGATGCATAAGAGATATTTCATTGTTTACTACGCTCATCTTACTGAAAACAAAAGCCCCTATGTGACCCTCCCTTTCAAAGGGCAAAAATCTCCGGTTCCCACAACCGAACAGGGTGTTACCATGGCTGTCTTATTGTGGTAGCATAACTGTCACTCAACCACTAGGCCCAGTTAAACAGATATTTATATATATTTCACACACGTATGTCGCTAGACTGTGTCTAACAAATCATGGTACAATAATCCTCTCACTTTGGTGGGAAAACAGCTCCGCCACGAGAAGGCAATCAGTAGGGCTTCTTCGGCAGAGGCTATTTGAGACGCTTGGTCTTGTGGGAGCATTTTGAGAGGTGCAAGTTCAACAGAAATACAACACAAGTTACTCTCTTTCACCCTCTAGCTCCGAAAGAATGAATGTACAGTAGGTGATAGAAGCACAAAAGCAGAGAATGACACAAGTCCAAGATCCCCTGGGACTATACGCAAGATATGTCCAACCGGACACAACGTTGACGCACATAGTTCGAAACACATCTAGAACACAGTGAAATCCCAGTGTTTGTAACTACACAACCATAGGAAAAACGAACCCGATTTGAAAACATAGCTTCTCGGAACAGAAAGCTGGGTAACAAGCGTATATTTGAGGAGCAGCGGGACCATCAAAAAGGTAAGGTCAAAAAAGATGTCAAGATAAGCAAGGAACACTATTGCTCACATGATATTCGAGGTGACAAATTAGATGAGGGAGACTTGGCTATCAACTTAACAGAATCTGCTCCTTCTACCGATCATAATATTAGAGTGTGGTGGAACACAGCTGGCGAGTGTGATCACACAAAATTCCCGTGTGTTTATAGAACCCGATAACCGGAATAGTTGGAACGTGCGAAAGGGGAAACCAAACGAAGCTCCCGAAGTGCGGATGGGTGTACCAAAAGTCAATGGAGTTGATTGTTGGAAAAGATGACCCGGCTGTACCGGATAGGACACAAAGTTGCTTCATTGAATAACCGGATGAAAAGTAGCTAAGTCGTTAAGATATGCACTGGATTGTCAGAGAGCATGTTGAACAATATTATCGGTTCACTGGTAGAAAAAGGAACATCAGTGTGCACACAGGTAGTCGGGACCCCGAGAGTAGAATAACCCACCCAAATCGCATTTCTCACTTTCCCCCAATTTCGCAGACATCAGAGACTCGATAGGCCGGGAGAACACGGGCGACACAAATCATGACGGATAACGGGGCATCCAAAACACCCCATGTTTATCTTGCCCTCCGCCCCACAAACCCAGCAAGACTGTATGCACACAAGATTATTATTATTTCGCACACTCCCTGACGTGTGTACATTGTCTGGTTTGGCTTCGTCCAGTACATACATACAATTGGTCACATTCAAAGTGAACTTTTACCCCTAGAATACTCTGTACCTGACTGATGAGTACCGCGGTGATTGCATCCCCCTCCCGCTTCGGGGGAATTTTCTGATCTTTCTGAGGACTGTCGTCCATTGACGAATGCTCAAATCCTTCGAACCATTACGATAGCATGTGCTTTTCGGCGAACTTAGACCTTTGTTCTATTGTAGAATGTTGTCTGCAAGAATACAAGTACTTAATTTTGGGAAGGGGTGGGGTCATTGCGTAATAAGCCGAATGCACTCCAGACATGAGAAGAAAGAATGATATGATATGATTCATGTAACGACTTAATAAGTGGGAACCACTGAACTACAGGTTTTCGTCATTTGTTTATTCTTGTCTTCTTCATGCTTCAGACATGTGACAATTTAGAACGTCAATACTGTGTGTGTAAAATTTCTGCTTTTGTTGGTTAATTGTGAATTTGAAGGATATTCAGGACCTTGTTTATGGGAAACCGTTTACTACTAATAATGTCGGAAGTTTTTTCAATGTTCTATTGAAAAAAGGGGTCAAAAAACAAAACACATTCATTGTACGCGGTATTTCGGTGATCAGGAATCAACCTAGCAAATCATGAAGTTTGACATCGCCATCTCACCCGCCCACACATCGACGAGACAATGTACAAATTACAACCGCTCACCAAAGAGGATTTGATGGTATACCGTACCGGCAACTCGATATCATCATCGTACAGGGAAATACAGTAGAGCTAACTTTGCCGATCCCTGTCAAGCTCATCGTGCATACAAAGTACGAGAATCCGTTCATACGTGATGCGAGTTAACCTCATCCCAGTTGCCTAACTTTCCCATTTCATCATATCCTAAGCGGCCTTCAGTTGAACACAACTAATCTCCCCCCCCCTCGGGAAATTAAATGCATATTTATCGTATTTTTAGTATGTCTAATGATTGCTAGAACAGGATAATACCGTTGACAGTAAAGTATGTGAAGAGAGCTCTTGATTTTTCTTCAATTTTCGACGTACGCTCACAGATGTCAAATTCCAGACCAGCTGGACAATTATTTTCTGTGATTTTGAAGCATTTTCGCCGACTGTGATTGAAAGACCTCTAGCGATCGATCAGCTCATCGCGAGATCTCTACCGTTGTAGCCGGGGTAAAGAAGCCTTGTGGTCAAACCCGAACTATCATATATAAAGCTAACGATGTGGGGTGGGTGGGTGGAATGTTATACAGTTGACAGTATTCGGCCTTTGATCGCACTTTCTTTTCTGTCACCCGATCTCGCATTACAACACCATTCGGACACCAAAACCAGTGGACAAAACTTGTTTCCCCCTCCTTAGAAAGATAAATTGAATTTATGAACTCGAATATAAGCGTGCAGTCATTCAGGGAATTTAAAAATAACGGTCACGCGACCAAACGGTCGAATTCGGGATTCATTGTAGAGTTAGGACAATAAACATAGCAAAAACGGCGCAATACGAATCGAGTGCACTAAACTTCTAAAGCACGCCGTCATGTGTTTAATTTCAAAGAGAAATTCGTCATGCATAGAGGAAATGAAACGTGAACTGAAAAGCTAGGAAGCACTGGACAGTACTTGTTTCGACCTGATTGGGTCTTATCAGCAGTGCGGATCCATCGATCCAACTGGAGAACGAACCCGGGACCTCACAGGTAGAATGCGATGCATTCGCACTGGCGATAGGATTCAACCAACCATACAGTGTTTCCTAGCTTTCCAGTTCACGCTTCATTTAGCCAA